CTTCCGTAGTAGTGAAGTTTTCCATGGGTCAAACGATACGCTACGGACTGGAGAGACCGTCTGTGTGCGGCTTTGCTCCTCTCTAAAGAAAGTCAATATAGATAGGGTTGTCTTGGCACCTGCTGCATGGGACCGGGGATTTTACTATTTGCGGACATGCAAACGATCTTTCCGGTGCCAACAATGTGGAGAGTGTGTGTGGGTGTACAGTGTGTTATCTCTTGTATCTCTTGTTCTATAGGCAGATGGCTCTGAGTGTGTACACCAACAGCCCAGGGATTATGGGTTCATTATAAAACTATTATGCTGGTGGAAAGATTATACTCATGGGTATATAAGGGACCCCAAGGTTTCCCAGAATACAACTAATTTAAAGGTCACACCACCTGGTCCTGTTCAGTAGGCACAAAATGGAAGAAAATGCTCCTAAAGAAGCGGTTTCAAAGGGAGGTACTCTCTGACCTTGACCCTTATCTATTCTTTATAATTGTTTTAGGAGATTTGGCAGTTTGGGGGAAACACCATCCATCTTTTTCATCCTGAGATGCCAGTTAGCCTTATCCAATAGTTAGACAAATAGATCCTGGTAGATGTGATTTCAAATCCTTTCTGCAAATTATCCCCCTGATTATGTGCCGCCCAAATTCCTAAATAATGTCACCATAATACATATTTCCCATTATACAATGGGTGGGTCTAATCCTGAATGCTGATTGGTGTCTATTCCACAAGTTACCACTGGCTAAATCTATGACGTTAAAATGCCTATTTACTCTGTTCCATCTGACTGCGCAATCCACTGTCTCATCATCCCAGGCAGGGAAGTTATAAACTTGATCTCCACTATAAAAAGCATCTAGACATTATCTCACATTTCTTTTAAACTAACATTTAGTTTTCAACAGCTGAGATTTGTATAAACCTTACTGTCTGTCTCTCCGACTTTTGCAACATTGTTTCAATATTCAAATTCGATCTCTAACTGTCTAATAGTAATAAACGTGTATGGGTCCAGAGTCGGGACGAGAGAGCGAGGCAGGCAGCGTTTCTCAGCCAGTCGAAATCATGAATCAACTGGCATCATTTTTATGGATATACACAAAGAAATGTTCATTGAAAAAAGGTGAAACGAAGTGCAGCTAGTTTGCAGTCTTTCCAGCTTCAGTTTGAAGTTATTGTGTTACCTGTGTTGTTGGCTAGCTCCTCTGAACAACAGTGTCCTGAGGAGTGAGCACATTTTTTATGCCAGGCGAAATCGCGCCTAATTAGCTAATTGTTATGGATGTATCCAAATAAATGTCACAAGAAAACAGCTTCAACAAATGCAGCTACTGTTGTAATTCTGTCTGCACTGTTTGATGAGACTGTAAGTTAGCCGTAGTTGGCTAGCTAGGAAGCAAAGGACAAGAACGTCGCCAGCCAGTATGTCAATGGAACATTTAGAACCAACAACTGGATCGCGTCCATAGATACAGTGGCTAGCGAAAGTATTCACCCCCCTTGGCATTTTTCCTATTTTGTTGCCTTACAACCTGGAATTAAAATATATATTTTTTTTGGGGGGGGGGGGGGTGGGTTGTATCATTTACACAACATGCCTACCACTTTGAAGATGCAAAATATTTTTTATTGTGAAACAAAACAAGAAATAAGACAAAAAAATAGAAAACTTGAGTGTGCATAACTATTCACCCCCCCCAAAGTCAATACTTTGTAGAGCCACCTTTTGCAGCAATTACAGCTGCAAGTCTCTTGGGGTATGTCTCTATAAGCTTGGCACATCTAGCCACTGGGATTTTTGACCATTCTTCAAGGCAAAACTGCTCCAGCTCCTTTAAGTTGGATGGGTTCCACTGGTGTACAGCAATCTTTAAGTCATACCACAGTTTCTCAATTGGATTGAGGTCTGGGCTTTGACTAGGCCATTCCAAGACATTTCAATGTTTCCCCTTAAACCACTCGAGTGTTGCTTTAGCAGTATGCTTAGGGTCATTGTCCTGCTGGAAGGTGAACCTCCGTCCCAGTCTCGAATCTCTGGAAGACTGAAACAGGTTTCCCTGTTCCCTGGTGTTCTCGGGGTGATGAGAGGTGTTGGGTTTGCACCAGACATAGCGTTCTCCTTGATAGCCAAAAAGCTCAATTTTAGTCTCATCTGACCAGAGTACCTTCTTCAAAATGTTTGGGGAGTCTCCCACATGCCTTTTGGCGAACACCAAACGTGTTAGCTTATTTTTTTCTTTAAGCAATGGCTTTTTTTCTGGCCACTCTTCCGTAAAGCCCAGCTCTGTGGAGTGTACAGCTTAAAGTGGTCCTATGGACAGATACTCCAATCTCCGCTGTGGAGCTTTGCAGCTCCTTCAGGGTTATCGTTTGTCTCTTTGTTGCCTCTGATTAATGCCCTCCTTGCCTGGTCCGCGGGTTTTGGTGGGTGGCCCTCTCTTGGCAGGTTTGTTGTGGTGCCATATTCTTTCCATTTTTTAATAATGGATTTAATGGTGCTCCGTGGGATGTTAAAAGTTTCTGATATTTTTTTATAACCCAGCCCAGATCTGTACTTCTCCACAACTTTGTCCCTGACCAGTTTGGAGAGCTCCTTGGTCTTCATGGTGCCGCTTGCTTGGTGGTGCCCCTTGCTTAGTGGTGTTGCAGACTCTGGGGCCTTTCAGAACAGGTGTATGTATACTGAGATCATGTGACCGATCATGTGACAGTTAGATTGCACACAGGTGGACTTTATTTAACTAATTATGTGACTTCTGAAGGTAATTGGTTGCACAGATCTTATTTAGGGGCTTCATAGCAAAGGGGGTGAATACATATGCACGCACCACTCTTCCGTTATTTATTTTTTATAATTTTTTGAAACAAGTTATTTTTTTCATTTCACTTCACCAATTTTGACTATTTTGTGTATGTCCATTACATGAAATCCAAATAAAAATCAATTTAAATTACAGGTTGTAATGCAACAAAATAGGAAAAACGCCAAGGGGGATGAATAATTTTGCAAGGCACTGTACAGAATAAAAAGACTGAAAGACTGGGTCGCGTCTCTGGCAACCGAAGCAATAGAACGAACGATCAGCCGGCTTGGTTAGCAACCCTAGATTTGTTTCGGGACTATAGCTTGTGGAAGGATGAAATATCCATTCATTCATCAAAATAACATTTTTAAATTAAATATGTAAATAATTATTTGAATATGTTGGTAACCGGTTGTATAAAAGTGATAATGCCCTCGAAGCCGGTGTTCGGAGGATATATGGCACGGTTTGCCTAACAACACCTGTGCCAGTATATCCTCCAAACACCGGCTTCTCAGGCATTATCACTTAAGTATGTCATTGAGTTCCACTGGCCCTGCCCCTTGCCCACAGAATAGAATCCCTTAAATGCGTCTCATTAAATGAAATAAAACAATGGCAGCATGAACATAGTGTATTCGGAAAGTATTCAGACCCCTTGACTTTTTCCACATTTTCTTACGTTACAGCATTATTCTAAAATTGATTAAATTAGTTTTTTTCTCATAAATCTACACACAATACCCCATAATGACAAAGCAAAAATAGGTATTTTGACATTTTTGCAAATGTATATATATTTAAAAAAAACTGAAATATTAAATTTACATAAGTATTCAGACCCTTTACTCAGTACTTTGTTGAAGCACCTTGGGCAGCGATTACAGCTTGAGTCTTCTCGAGAAGGGCCTTGAAAGAGAGAGTTCCTCCCCTTCTTCTCTGCAGATCCTCTCAAGCACTGTCAGGTTGGAAGGGGAGCGTCGCTGCACAGCTATTTTCAGGTCTCTCTAGAGATGTTAGATCTGGTTCAAGTCCGGGCTCTGGCTGTGCCACTCAAGGACATTCAGAGACTTGTCCCGAAGCCACTCCTGCGTTGTCTTGGCTGTGTCCTTAGGGTCGTTGTCCTGTTAGAAGGTGAACCTTCGCCCCAGTCTGAGGTCCTGAGCGCTCTGGAGCAAGTTTTCATCAAGGACCTCTCTGTACTTTGCTCCGTTCATCTTTCCCTCGATCCTGACTAGTCTCCCAGTCCCTGCCGCTTAAAAACATCCCCACAGCATGATGCTGTCACCACGCTTCACCGTAAGGATGGTGCCAGGTTTCCTCCAGACGGGACGCTTGGCATTCAGACCAAAGAGTTCAATCTTGGTTTCATCAGATCAGAGAATATTTTTTGTCATGGTCTGAGAGTCCTGTAGGTGCCTTTTGGCAAACTCCAAGCGGGCTGTCATGTGCCTTTTACTGAGGAGTGGCTTCCGTCTGGCCACTCTACCATAAAGGCCTGATTGGTAGAGTACTGCAGAGATGGTTGTCCTTCTATAAGGTTCTCCCATCTCCACAGAGGAACTCTGGAGCTCTGTCAGAGTGACCATCAGGTTCGTGGTCACCTCCCTGACCAAGGCCCTTCTCCCCCGATTGCTCCGTTTGGCCGGACAGCCAGCTCTAGGAAGAGTCTTGGTGGTTCCAAACCTCTTCCATTAAGAATTGAGGCCACTGTGTTCTTGGGGACCTTCAATGCTGCAGACATTCTTTGGTACCCTTCCCCAGATCTGTGCCTCGACACAATCTTGTCTCAGAGCTCTGCGGACAATTGCTTTGACCTCATGGCTTGGTATTTTCTCTGACATGCACTGTCAACTGTGGGACCTTTTTATATAGACAGGTGTGTGCCTTTCCAAATCATGTCTAATCAATTGTATTTCCCACAGGTGGACTCCAATCAAGTTGTAGAAACATCTCAAGGATGATCAATGGAAACACGATGCACCTGAGCTTAATTTCGAGTCTCATAGCAAAGGGTCTGAATACTTATTTACACAAGGTATGTTTATTTTTAATACATTTGCAAAAATCTCTAAAAACTTGTTTTCACTGTGTAATTATGGGGTATTGTGTGTATATCGATGAGGAACATGCTTTATTTAATCCATTTCAGAATAAGGCTGTAACGTAACAAAATGTGGAAAAAGTCAAGGGGTCTGAATACTTTCCGAATGCACTGTCCATTGCAGACAGTACAGTGAGACAGGTACTTACAGAGTGGGATGATGAAGAGCGGTTTGAAAGAAGGACTAAAGAATGAACAAGTGAATGAGACCGACATTTATTACCCTAAAATGTTGCTGAGTGAAAAGCGTTTTGGAAGGATTCACTTCATCAGACCAGACCTTTGGCAACCGAGAGAGAGAGCAGCTATCAAGAACTGAAAAATGCCAAGGAGGATGGCCGAGTCCACAGTTTCTATACAGTAAATAAAATAGATATAAAACGACTCCTTTTTAATGTTAATGTGTACATTTGGCCAGGTTGTTGTTACATGTTGCATCCATTTTCAGTAAAAGTGCACGTCGGGTCTTCACTTCTTGACTTCTCCAAGATCATCAATGCTGTCGTCATCCACCTACAATGGAGAGACACACAGATGGTTAGAGTGTGTGTGTATAATGTCTCATTGAGGTACACACAGACTACTCGTCTATTTCCTGTAACTAACTTTTTTCAGCCATCTATTTGGTGTGGAAGAGTAAACGCAGCCGTCTTACCTCAGGCCACTTTTCCTGAATGACATCGATGATGTCATCTGTAAAATCTCCCTGAATGATGATTTCATCCTCTGCAGTCACCGAGGCTCCGCAGGAGAACTTCTGGGCAAAGAATCTCTGAGCCTCTTTAAGGTCAATTTCTGCAGGGAGGAAGTCCACAGTCACAAGATAGAAAAACAAGGTTATGGGTCTGTCCATGTATTTAACAAGGTGGTTACAGTAACAGTGTGTGACACAGTCAGCAGTCTTACCAAAGGTGTTCATTCCACAGACTCGTGTGACATATTTCTTCTTGGCACGGGGGATTTTAGCTATCGTTATTTTCTGAGGGACAGTCTTCTTTTTCTGTTTGATCTGTCCTCTGCCACCTAGAGTCGGCACAGACAGGTTAGAACAGGGGTCTCCAATGCCAGTCCTCAGACACCCACTAGCCGTTGCACATTTGTTCTATTTCAGCACTAAACACACCTGATTCAACCAATTAATCTTGGTGATTTAGTCTGGAATAGAGCAAGTATGTACAAAGGCTGGGGGGTCCCTGAAGGTTGTGCTGGGAAACACTGGGTTAGGATTTGAGGAGGAAGGATGCATTTAAGAATTCAAAACTGAAAATGAAGAGGAACTCGGACCTCTCTTCTGCTTCTTCTTCTCATCCTCCTCTCCAACAGGGGGCGCCTCTACACCGCCGGTGTCCTGCTTGGGAGCATTTCCTACCGGACCAGTAAGGCAGAAGAAAAAAAGTGTATTTTAATACGACAGCATTCATTATTGCCCATCTTCCTGATAGGAAACAGAGAGAGAGAAAGAACAAGAGACTGTCTGATGGAACTCACCTACACTCATCCTGGCAAACACATCTGGGAAGTTCTTCTCCAGCCACTGTCTGCATTTGGACGGCTCAGGCATGTACTCACAGTACTCTGTTGGCAAGGAGCACACTGGAAAAAAGACATGAAGTGTTAGACCTTGACAATCATGTGACATTGCAAAACAATGTTTTAGGAATTGGCCATGATCATGTATAGATCACTAGAATAGGGTGCCATTTTGGACGCTGCCCGGATACTACCTTCTACTACGTAGTACTTACCTCCACAATACTGGACTTTCATTGGGTACTTTGTGTCCGGGTCAGCACTCCCATGATGGTCTCTCTTGTTTTCTGGTGAACACGTCTCTGCATTCTCAGTAGTAGCCATGACAGATTATCTGAACACATAGGTGAAAAAAGGTTAATTGGGTAAAGTATGCCTTCAAATCGAACGAAAAGTGAGAATCATAGACAATCAGTCTTTCACCATAGACAACTTGGCTTAGTCAAGATCCTGGACCCTGGACAATGGATTGGTCTGACGACAGCAAACATACATTGTCAAAGCACTGAAAACAGATGCTGGAGATAAAAAGATAATGGAGCTATATATTTTTTTATAAGATCATCTTTGAGAACTAACAACCACCATAATAAAAACTAGACAGTCAATCTAAAATTCCAAATATATCATGGCATGGTGGCCCCCATTGATTTTGTTATAATGTTTGAGTCATTCAGATAGCATAAGAACACAGCATAAGCCATGGCAAAGTGTAGAATTGCAGGAAATTAGCTATAAAACTGCAAATTCTCTCTCAGCCCAATGGCAAAACATGTAAAATTTCAGGAAATTAGCTTTAAAACTAAAATGTTCTCTCAGCCAGTTTTGGAAACATAAGTAACATATCTTTCATATCAGCTAGAATTGTTTTCTCTCCAAAAAACAAAAAGGTTAAATTACTACACACCATTTTAGAGATAGGGTTCCCACACGGCCATATTTCAATTTTAGAGCGCTTGTTTACAGAAAACAGATGGAAGACGTAAAGTGAAATGTGACCCTCACTATGAAATAAACGTCTGAATCCAACTTTTGTCAGAACTGCACCACCTGCTGTGTAGACAGTGGTAGATTTTGAGGTAGGAAGTATCGCGTGACGTGCGGGGTCTAATGTCAGTACAGGTGCATCAAAGCTGGGACGGAGTGACTAAAAAAAACAGCTTCTGTCTCAAGGCCATCAGACTGTTAAATAGCCATCACTAGCAGCCTCCACCCAGTACCCTGCCCTGAATTTAGTCACTGTCACTAGCCAGCTACCACCCGGTTACTCAACCCTGCACCCTAGAGGCTGCTGCCCTATGTACATAGACATGGAATCACTGGTCACTTTAATAATGTTTACATACTGTTTTACTCATTTCATATGTATATAGTGTATTCTATTCAATGCCATCATATTCAACTATTGCTGTATATATACACACTATTCTATCCTATGTATTCTACAGATATACTAAATATTCTATCCACACTGTCCATAATGTCTATACATCCCATCACACACACCAGACTCCGACATTGCTCGTCCTAATATTTATATATTTTATAATTCCATTATTTTACTTTTAGATCTGTGTGTATTCTTGTGAATTGTTAGATATTACTGCACTGCTGGAGCTAGGAACACAAGCATTTCGCTACACCCGCAATAACATCTGCTAAATATGAGTATACAACCAATAAAATGTGATTTGATTTAATGGCAGCCCGCCGTTTAACAACAGGAAAATGGTGTTGTTCGGACAAAAGTTGGATTCAGATGGTGTTGTTCGGACAAAAGCTGGATTCAGACGTTTATTTGATAGCGAAGGACACATTTCACTTTACATCTGGTAAATAGAGTTCCTAAAGATTATACATATGCCTTTGTTGACTGGAAACGTTTTATGGTGAAGCCGGTAGGGTTATTTTCTGTCGCCAGCCACCAGAAAGATGCACAACTCAGCGAGTCCAACCAATAAACAGACTCCCTATGTTGTGTTCCAAAGCTAGAGGGCTATATGTTTCTACTAGAACCGTACCGCAATTGAGAATCGATTCACGTTTAGATGGAGTATTTGGCTGTTTTGGCTGCCAGAGCAAATTCGACTCTAAATAGAACATGTAAGGTCCTTGGACTATAAGGAGTAACGTTAGGCTCCTTTAGTCAATTATTGGGCAACGTGAGGTTCTAAACTGGGACATTTGGCATGTCATACCTTGGCCTTAGCTAGTTAACAGGCAGAGGAGCAATATCTAGCTTGACAACAAAGAAGATTATTGTTATTAATTCAGAGGTAGAATTGTATGACAGCTTTCCTTACAGCTGCTGTTAAAACTCAAATCAGGCTGTCAGACATAATTAGCCAGCAACCATTAGCTTGCAAACTTGCATGCTGCCTATGTGTTGTTGGTGCCTTTGCCAGACACAATTAGGATATATCCAAGACTACAAGTTAGATAAGCAAAACTCGTGGTAGTATGTTAATGTGAGAGCTAGCAAGCTTCAACAGCAGGCCAGCCAGCTAGATAATATTTTTGACAACTGGTTTCATGGCTGAGACTTAATTCATAGCTAGTTAGCTAGATATGCTAACTAACGGCGCAGCTAACGTTAGATAGCACATTGAGCTAGCATCACCTCCAAGTCAATCAATGGAAAGACAACAACATGATACATACCCCTCGAAAACGACCTTAATATTGTTGACTGTTTAACAAAACAAGCATTATTAAGTAAAGTTGAAACAGATTAATGCTCAATTATTACAGCTTGAGCACACCTACTGCCTGATTTGGCTAGGGGTCCCGTCAATACCTCTTGGAACGCACGCACGTCTAAGAAATAATAGGTGTTCACTTAGTTGCCTGCATTATGACTTCTATAAAAATAAACATTTTGTTTAAAAAAAATATGCTATGAATGACATTTTATAACAACATTCCGATCTATTGGAAAATAAAGTAAAACACACCTCATATGTAACCCCTATTATGATTTAAGTTTGACGTTATACGATAGGCATTCACGAGTATGCCTTGACGTCCACTCCTCCGCGGCCATCACAACAAGTGATTTGAAAATTTGCAAACTTTCAACAGGGATTTTATGCTAGGCTAGCTGGTTATTTCCATTTCCAAATTAACTTAGTGTTAGATAATTGTGGAGTAATCCATTTTATTTGATTATGCTCTGTATTTTGCTGTCAATGTATTTATGTAAATGGTACCATGATTTGAATAATAGACAATGATCATGAGATGCCCATCTACATCTGATTAACGTTAGCTGTTAGGCAAGTCGTGATGTAACTAGCTAGCGTTAAAGTTAATCAAAACTGTAACATTTCATAAATTACAAAAAAACGCCATGACTGAGTGGAGATGGACCAAGGCAGTAGAAGAACAATCAATCCAAATGGAGGCTCTGGACACTCATCATCATCGCACAGCTATTATGGTGTGTCCTTCTGATCTCACAGTTATTCTGGTGTCGAGATAGCCGGTTCAACGATTTACGAGGGAGTTGAGCGGCGACTAGTGTGGGCGGACTGGAGTTCCAACATCACATAAAATGACGTTTTTATTAAAAACGACGGATTTCAGCACCCAAAGAATAGCATGGACAATGTCTCTAGTTTGCCCACACTAGTCGCCACTCAACTCCATTGTAAATCGTTGAGTTTAGTCGGCTATGTCTGAGAAAGCTGTAATACAAAAACGTGTATTTGTGTTTTCAGTTACTCCATGTGATCCCTGGCACAGCACACCTGTGAAAAAGGTAATAGTGAGCAAATCAATGTTATTGGACCTGTTATATTTCATCCAAATAAAAATGTTATTTGACCATACATTTTGAAAACTCATTTGATACGTTTTTATTTTGTCTTATTGCCTTGGTTAGGCTACTAGTCTAATAAAATGAGAAATTCTAACATGAATGACAATGGCTCCATTTTTGCAGAAGAATGTGGGAGCGTTTATCGAGGAGCCCTCCCTAGTGTCCACCTCAGCTCAGAATGAGGGACAGAAGATGGCCAGCCAGTCAGCCAGAAGTCCCCCAGGCCTTAGTCCTACAGGCAGCCTCTACACCCAAACCCCCTCCCTGTCTCTACCCCTCCTACAGGACAGAAAGGTGGGAGGTGCTGCTGTTTACACAACACAGAGCCAGATGCCTCATTTTTCAAACATTGTGGAACACACTGCTCATGTTCTCCTTTGTTACATCATTGCATCCTTGATAGAATCACAGAATGCAGAATAGAATGTTAATGACAGTAACGTGTAATTGCCCATGGTAGCTAACGGCTGGTTGATAAAATGTGAAACTATTACTATGGGCTAGCAAGGCTACCATTATAGGTAGCAGGTCAGTACTGGTACTCTCTACATGTTTGTACGTGTGTGTGTGCGCATGCCTACTCACTCCTGTATTTACATTTGTGTATGTGTGTGTCTGTTCTGTGTGTGTTATAATAGTCTCTTGGTGAGATGGAGAGTGCCACCATCCAAAGGCAGAGGCGGGAGCTGCAGCTGCTTATTTCTGAACTGAAGGACCGGGACCAGGAGCTCAACACCATGGCTGCTGCCCACCACAAGCAGCTCACTTCCTGGGAACAAGACCGCCAAAGAGTCCTGACCCTGGAGCAGAGGTGTGCTCGCCTGGAGGGTGAGAGAGGGGACATAGGCCTCAATCCCAAATGAACACGAAATATTCCATCCATCATCTGTGTGTGTGTACATTCCCAAAATAACCTTAATGATGGGTAGTTACATCCAGACCTAGATGGTGAATTGTATCCTCTGTATTATTTTATGATGTTTGCTTTGCATATGATGGGTCTGGGAATAGCATTGATAAGATCTCTGGTGTTTGTGCGTGTGCATGCATGCATGTTGTGTGTGTGTGTGTTTTTTGCTTGTATGTGTATCAATCTGTGTGTCATAATGTGTGTTTGCTTGTCTTAGATGAGCTTCAGAAGCGTAATGAGGTGATCAGAGCTGTGACTAAGAGGGTTCACGTCGTGGAGGCCCGGGAGAAGGAAGGCCACAGGGAGCTCAACTCTACCCAGCAACAGCTGCTCGAGCTGGGGCAGAAACAGCAGCACGCCAGCCAACACTGTCACGACCTGAAGGTACAAACACACACACAGCCAATTTGGTGTTGTACTGATGTAATTATTTGCAGTCCAATTTTGTGTTGTACTGATGTGATTATGTGCAGTCCGTGAAAGAAAGTGTTTCCGGTGTTGTTGTTAAACAGGACTGTGAAATAAAGTGTTTCTGGTGTCGTGTTGTTTTGTCTCCCCCACCAGGAGAAGAACCAAAGTCTGAACTCCACAGTGATGTCTCTGTCAGCCCAGCTGGGCTCTCTGCAAGTCAGAGGGGAGGAGCTCAGCGCCATGCTCAGACTCAAGGTACGCTTCACTTGCTTTCTTAAACCTTCGTCTCTAACTCTGATGACCCTGTAATAGAGTAGTAAAGCCGTGCAGTTACATACCTGCTAGTCTCTCACGACAGCCTAGCTGATTTGGTTCTGGGTGCCGAGATTCAGGGGCGCAACTTTGGTTTTAGAAGTGGGGGGGACATTATTTGTTTGTTTTTTATCCAGTCGGATAAACACTCCAAACAGCCTAGCCGACCACTCGGAGGCGTCCGCATGGTCCTAAAGCACACCATTGCCTCGTTTTGTATCACATTCCAATTATAAAACTGGGGGGGACAAAATTGCAATTTCATGTCCCCCCCGTCCCCAGTGAAAGTTGCGCCCCTGCTGAGATTACAGACATGCAGACTGTAAATTGTACAGTGGTTATCATAAGTACTCACCCCCCTTGGATTTTTTTCACATTTTGTTGCATGACAAAGTGAGATTGAAATGGATTTAGTTTTTTTGTCATTGATCTACACAAAATATAGTTGTTGCAAAATTATTCACTTGTTTTGTTTAGGCAAGACTAAATTAGTTCAGGAGTCAAATTTGGCTTAACAAATTGCATAATAAGTTACATGATTTTTGAATGACTACCCATTCGTCTGTCCCCCATACACACATCTGTAAGGTCCCTCAGTCAAGTATTGAATTTCAAGCACAGATTCAACTACAAAGACCGGGGAGCTTTTCAAAAGCCTCAAAGAAGGGCAGTGATTTGTAAAATAATAAATAATATGCCATTTAGCAGACGCTTTTATCCAAAGCGACTTACAGTAATGCGTGCATACATTTTTTTTGTGTATGGGTGGTCCCGGGGATCGAACCCACTACCTTGGCGTTACAAGCGCCGTGCTCTACCAGCTGAGCTACAGAGGACCACAGTTAGGTAACAATAACAAATCAAACATTGAATATGTATTAAACCACCCAGACACAACGGAGATACAGTCGTCCTTCTGAACTGAGGTGCAGGACAGGAAGGAAACTGCTCAGGGATGTCACCATGAGGCCATTGGTGATTTTAAAACAGCTACAGAGTTCAATGGTTGTGAAGGGAGAAAATTGATGATGGATCAACACCATTGTAGTTACTCCACAATATTTTTGTAAAAATGTTTTAGTCATTTTAGCAGATGCTCTTATCCAGAGCGACTTACAGTTAGTGAGTGCATACATTTTCATACTGGTCCCCCGTGGGAATCGAACCCACAACCCTGGCGTTGCAAGCGCCATGCTCTACCAACTGAGCTACACAGGACTACTAAATGACAGAGTGAAAATAATAATAATAATATACAGTGCCTTCAGAAAGTATTCACACCCCTTGACTTTTTCCACATTTTGTTATGTTAAAAAGTGGGAATAAAATTGATTTAATTGTCATTTTTTTGTCAACAATCTACACAAAATACTCTGTATTGTCAAAGTATTTTTTAAATATTATTTTTGACAAATAAAACACAAATACTTTATCTTGATTAGATAAGTATTCAACCCCCTGAGTCAATCAATACATGTTAGAAAAATTCTAACATTTTCATTTCTTGCCATAGATTTTCAAGCAGATTTAAGTCAAAACTGTATCTCGGCCACTCACTGTCTTCCTGGTAAGCAACTCCAGTGTAGATTTGACCTTGTGTTTTAGGTTATTGTCCTGCTGAAAGGTGAGTTCATTTCCCAGTGCCTGGTGGAAAGCAGACTCAACTAGGTTTTCCTCTAGGATTTTGCCTGTGCTTAGCTCCATTCCGTTTATTTTTTATCCTGAAAAACTCCCCAGTTCTTTTTAATGTTTTGTATTTATTTATTCATATACACTACCGATCAAAAGTATTAGAACACCTACTCATTCAAGGGTTTTTCTTCATTTTTACTATTTTCTACATTGTAGAATAATAGTGAAGACATCAAAACTAAAAAGATTGTTAAACAAATCAAAATATATTTTGTATTTGAGATTCTTCAAATAGCCACCCTTTGCCTTGATGACAGCTTTGCACACTCTTGGCATTCTCTCAACCAGCTTCACCTGGAATGCTTTCCAACAGTCTTGAAGGAGTTCCCACATTTGCTGAGCCCTTGTTGGCTGCTTTGCCTTCACTCTGCGGTCCAACTCATCCCAAATCATCTCAATTTGGTTGAGGTCAGGGGATTGTGGAGGCCAGGTCATCTGATGCAGCACTCCATCACTCTCCTTCTTGGTAAAATAGCCCTTACACAGCCTGGAGGTGTGTTGGGTCATTGTCCTGTTGAAAAACAAATGATAGTCCCACTAAGCCCAAACCAGATGGGATGGTGTATCGCTGCAGAATACTGTGGTAGCCATGCTGGTTAAGTGTGTCTTGAATTCTAAATAAATCACAGACAGTGTCACCAGCAAAGCACCCCCACACCATAACACCTCCATGCTTTACGGTGGGAACTACACATGCGGAGATCATCCGTTCACCTACACCGCGTCTCACAAAGACACAGCTGTTGAAAACAAAAATCTACAATTTGGACTCCAGACCAAAGGACAAATTTCCAGCGGTCTAATGTCCATTGCTCGTGTTTCTTGGCCCAAGCAAGTCTCTTCTTATTGGTGTCCTTTAGTAGTGGATTCTTTGCAGCAATTCAACCATGAAGGCCTGATTCACACAGTCTCATCTGAACAGTTGATGTTGAGATGTGTCTGTTACTTGAACTCTGTAAAGCATTTATTTGGGCTGCAATTTCTGAGGCTGGTAACTATAATGAACTTATAACTCTGGGTCTTCCATTCATGTGGCGGTCCTCATAAGAGCCAGTTTCATCATAGCGCTTGATGGTTTTTGCGACTGCACTTGAAGAAACGTTTAAAGTTCTTGACATTTTCAGTATTGACTGACCTTCATGTCTTAGTAATGATGGACTGTCGTTTCTCTTTGCTTATTTGAGCTGTTCTTGCAATAATATGGACTTGGACTTTTACCAAATAGGGCTATCTTCTGTATACCCCACTACATTGTCACAACACAACTGATTGGCTCAAATGCATTAAGAAGGAAAGAAATTCCACAAATTAACTTTTAAGAAGACACACCTGTTAATTGAAATGCATTCCAGGTGACTCCCTCATGAAGCTGGTTGAGAGAATGCCAAGAGTGTGCAGAGCTGTCATCAAGGAAAAGGGTGGCTATTTGAAGAATCTCAAATATAAAGTGTATTTTTATTTTTTCAATACTTTTTTGGTTACTACATGATTCCATATGTGTTATTTCATAGTTTTGATTTCTTCACTATTATTCTACAATGTAGAACATAGTAAAAATAAAGAAAAACCCTTGAATGAGTAGGTGTTCTAAAACTTTTGACCGGTAGTGTATATATATTTTTTACCCCTTTTTCTCCCCAATTTCGTGATATCCAATTGGTAGTTACAGTCTTGTCCCATCGCTGCAACTCCCGTACGGACTCGGAAGAGGCATGCGTCCCCCGCCAAGCCACACTGCTTCTTGACACACTGCTCGCTTAACCCGGAAGCTAGCCGCACCAATGTGTCGGAGGAAAGTACTGTATAGCTGGCGACAGAAGTCAGCGTGCATGCGCCCGGACGCCACAAGGAGTCGCTAGAGTGCGATGGGACAAGGACATCCCAGCCGGCCAAACCTTCCCCTAACCCAGACGACGGTCGCAATATATTAGTGTTTTATTTTTCATAATTTCTTTACAAATATTATAATTTTTCTTCTACTTTGACATTACAGAGTATTTTGTGTAGATCGTTGGCAAAAAATTACAATTAAATACATTTTAATCCCACTTTGTAACACAACAAAATGTTGAAGAAGTCAAGGGGTATAAATACTTTCTGAAGACACTCTAATCAAGGTATATTACTGTTTTATTTTTCATATATTTAATGTATTTTTTAGATTTGTTCTTCCACGTAGATCAATGATACAAAAAAATCACAATTCAATTAATTTCAATCCCACTTTATAACACAACAAAATGTGGAAAATTCCAAAAGGTGTGAATACATATGGTACCCACTGTATATAACCTCTTCTTCCCCCACCAGGACAAGGATGTGACGGAGGCAACCAATCACATCGTAGATCTGTCTGGGCGCCTGCGGGAGATGGAGGGTTTGCTGAAGGAGAGTCGATCACAGGAAGCCAGGGTGCTCAGGGAGTTCGAGGAGCACAAACGGCGATACAGAGAGGCCCGGCACGAGAACACACGGCTCAAAGGTACAGGTGCCTGAGTACATGGCTCAGAGATGTGGTCCTCTGTAGCTCAGCTGGTAGAGCACGGCGCTTGTAACGCTAAGGTAGTGGGTTCGATCCCCGGGACCACCCATACAAAAAAATGTTTTATGCATGCATGACTGTAAGTCGCTTTGGATAAAAGCGTCTGCTAAATGGCATATTATGATTAGATACAGTACACTACAAAAGTTTTGTAGTTTTCAGTAAGACTGAAAAAGCTAGTTGTCATATACCTGTGCACTCTTAAATTATGCGCTCTCACTCTCCTTCTTCTCCCTCCCTCTCTCTCTCCATCCCCCGTGTTGTGGTTCTAGAAGAGTTACAGCAGCAGGTGACAGAGGGCAGTGCCCAGAGAGAGGACATCATCCGTCTGAAACAGGAAGGACAGCTGCTGCGCAGGGAGCTGGCTCTCTCGGGTACCTCGCATTCAACCAAGTTTATTTATATAGGACTTTTGAGTGAAACGTTTTCACAAATATATTTGTCACAATGTTATTTACAGCTGCCTAAACCCCTGTCTTGTCTGGTACCGACCTCTAGAGGCAAGGTTTTCCAATGTAATGACAGGAGAAGCCTGTGAACATTGTATATGGTGCATGTAGGGCCTCCTCTGGAACAGTAGGGAGGGTGCCTGTAGTGCTATAGTTCCAGGTCATTGTTTCCCTCAACAGGAACATCTAGTTCCTCTTGCTAATCGCTGTTATTCTCTGCCCTAACAGTCTTTATTGACTGTATTAACATAGATAGACTGACTGATTGAACCACTCCAGCTTCTCTCGTCTCATAGTGCATTATTTTAGACAGCTCACTAAGAAAATAAATTATACATTTCTACCAAACTATTAATAAGAAACTATTGTGACTGCTTTTGACATGGTTCCTGTCTGCCAGGTGAGGGGGAGAGCTGGAAGGATGAGCTGCTGGGATTGGCTCGTTCCAAGCAGGAGCGCACAGAGTCAGAGCTGCACTGTCTACGCCAGGTGTGTCACCTCTTACCTTATCTCTACCTCCACACTTTTACCCACAGCGCATTGGGCTGGGCTGTCGGTCAGGTTCTACAGCATACCTGTGGAACTTCAGGAATGTTCTCTACCTTGGCTGTTTGGCGCTGTCTGTGTTGGTGGTGTGTCACATACCTGGGCCTTGACTCAGCCCTGACACAGTTAACCTGAAGAGGCTAAGGAGCTGTATTTGGCCAAAGTTACCCAGACTAAGATGAAATATTGATGTAAATTAATAATCATTTACACTGGGTCAACCAATGAAAGTAAAATGTACCCTGACATGATATGCATGAAATCTATGTTGAAGTGTCCACACTCCTAAGTGTGTGTCTGTGTGTGCTCCAGGTGTGTGAGAACCAGCAGAATGACCTGCAGCTGCTTCAGCTGAACCTGGAGAGCACCCGGGAGGCCCTGAAACAGGCTGAGGGACAGGGGCCAAATGGAAGGTGAGCTGGGTGTGCGTGCATGTGTATATTTATTCAACTCAGTTGAACAGTGATGTTTTGCACAGCAGTGCAGTTTTAGTGTTGCTGTAGGTCTCAGATATGTTGCTGTTGTTTCTGTGGCTTTAGAGGAGGTGCTGAAATGGTGTCTATGACCAGTCAGGGAACAGAGAGAGGAGAAGGAACAGAGAGACGAGCAGCAGGGTCAGTCTACAGACAGGCTTTAAGCAGGAGTATAGACCGCCACCCAAACCAACCAGAACCCCCCTTCCCCCTCCTCGTCACAGGAGAGAGACAGGCACCCCAGCAGGAGGAGGAAAGTAGTGTTTCAGGTTTGACCTCTGACCTCACTGACGGTACAGTGGCAACCCGGGACCTCACTGCTGCTGTCCCCAGAGAGTTGCTGAGTCACTCAACGGTCCAAGCTAGCAGCGTTAGTGACCGTTTGTCATCAACGGAGAGAGAGAACCAGAACATATCAAACCCCCGTACTCACAGTTCCTACACCAAGCGAGAGTCAAGTCACCAGGAAACAATGGCAGGGAGAGAGAGTAGAGAAACCATGGATACACCTAGCATAGCCGGCGCCACAGGAACGCTTAGTCGAACTCGATCGCCAGATCAAGCTAGCATCAACTTCAGCGACTACCTGTCTACTGTTTCAGGAACCCAAAGCACGTCTCTTAGGCAACAAGAAAAACAACAACTCACCAAACTCAGCGAACATGAATCAAACTACAGCAGCCAGGAAACACTAGGGAGAGCTAGCAAGGAAACCTTGGCAACCCGTAGTAGCCTAGCCGCTGGAACCACCACACTGTCGCTGAGCGACCGCATTGCTAGCTATCGCAGCCAACAGAAATCAGCAGGGAGAGAAGGCAGAGAGCATACAGAGTCAGATTGGAGTTAGTGGGAATAATAGTGGGAATGAGGGTTCGTTAAACCGCACTCCCGATCAAGTTAGCATTAGCGACAGAGTCTCGAACTACAGCCGCCAGGGAGCTTCAGGAAAAGAAGGCCGAGGGACACGGAGTCAGAGTGGAGTAAGCGGGAATTTCAGCAAGAATAACAGCGGGAATGTGGGTCACACTTCTGGTAAAGTTAGCGACGGAGTCTCGAACTACAGCCACCAGGGAACATCAGGAAAAGAATGCAGGGAGTCATTGTGTGAGGATGGAATCGGTACGAATGCCGGTTCCCTGGTGGAGAGGACTGAGTCCCCTGAATGTGGGTGTAGCAGTATGGTTGAGGGACAGACAGGACCTAGCTCCTATAAGACAGCTAGTTGTGGTAGTATGACTGAAGTACAGGCAGGGCAGAGCTGTGGCTTTGGTAGTATGGTTGACGGACAGACAGGGCCCAGCTGTAGGTGTAGATATACATCTGAAGGCCAGGAACAGAGTGAACCTAGCCCGTCTGAAGCAGGCAGCTCTGAGACAGGGACAGAGGCAGGGCCAGGTGCAGGGATGGAGCTCCTAGCTGTGTTTAATGGAGGACCAGAGACAGAGGACTCCTCCATACTGCTGGTGGACATCAGCCCTTGTAACACCTGGTAGGGACAGAATATACAGAGAAAGAATGGTACACTCTATTATATTGACCCCAAATTTGTCTCACAGATAGTAAGGTTTGATTGATTGGATTGATTGATTGACTGACTGACTGCTTTCCCAGCCAAGGTGATCTCACCTGTGTGTACCTGGATAGCCCCTCCCCTTCCTCCCGGAGTAGGAGGAGCCTTGGTCCTGCAAATGACTCCACCTCTCCAACAACCACCAATGAACGAGGTGTTGTCAATGGCAACCTGGGAGGCCTTTTTACAGCTTTAGAAGATGTGAGTGAACCATGTTACCTGACAGGAAAAAACTCCTGATTTTCATAATAAATTCCTACTGTGGAGATAAAGAAAAGTAATTGGCCAGGATTCAGTCTTAAAGTTTAAACTTCTTTATATTTTGTCCATTCCCCCAGGAGGACCAGCGTTCCTCAACCAATCATCTACAGAGGCTGCTAGCTGAGTCTCGTCAGATGGTGGCTAGCCTGGAACGCACAACCCTACAACCGTTATGCCCCTCCCACAGCCCGGCCTCTAACTGTGACGCTATCATCAGCCTCAGCATCGGCCAAAACAGTGGCAACAGTAGCCATGGAAACCACAGTCATAGCTGTGACAGACGTAATCACAGCGATCCCGATCATCACCCCAACCAAAGCTCCACCCACACCACAAGACCCAGTCAAACAAGCCGGGTACGTGCTTTTTTGTGTTTTATACTATAGATACAATCATTATTCAGAACAAAATACGAAAATACCACAGATAATTTCATATTGTTGGGCCTATGACCATTAAGACATCCCATAATACTATGGAAGTGTGGGGTGAAACCTTGGAGTGTGGCGTAGTCAAGGGTGTGAACTGGTAGTGATTTACAGTGCTCCTCCCATCTCTCCTGTTTTCACCCAGCTGGATGGTGATACTCCACCCAGGAACACTCAGCCCTTCCAGAGGAACAAGGAACCAGGGGCGTCTACCTAAACACACCTTTACACACCTGGCCTGGAATGTCTAGGAGGGGTGATGGTGGAGGCTGAAGACTACTCTGTTTTCTACTGTAGACATTGAGTCTGGAGTCACATTGGTATGGCCTTTAACCCCAGTCCCAAACCGATATCAGCCTAGTCACAAGTCCAGGAAGTGACACTTGGGGTCAAAGGTGAAATCTCCTCCAATCAGAACCAGGGACACAGCGATAGCCAGCCAATGAATGAATTAAACTGCTTTTTTAGGAAACCAAAGAAGGACTTACATTTCTTTATGTGAAAACGTATGTTACGTTATACGATACATTAAACTTTTAAAATTATTCTTTTAACAACTTTTAAAACATGTTTAGTGTTATATGTCCAATGTCCTGCCCCTTCTCAGACCTGGTCATAAGCTATTTAGGAACCATTTAGTAATATGCAGGTGAGATGTGAAACCAGTCATTCAGGCCTGTTGAATGGTGCTTTGGGTTATTGTCATTCCGGTTTCACTGCCTGCAAACCTGCTGGATGGCTCCAATAAGATGACTGATTACTTATGAGGACTGAGAGACTGCTGCATTGAAAAGAAACTTGAACCTCTCACATTGCATTTTGTATTTTTTATGTCAACATTTTGTATTTTTATGTCAACATTTTGTAGTTAATGTTTTTGTAATCATTACTTTTTATAAAATAATTTATTATTCAGTCAGACTATGCAAATACTAAGAAAAATGTACCACTGCAGTAAAATGTTTGATAACCACATCAAATTCCAGATATTATGTGATTTTGATAACATGATGAAGGAAAAATACGATTAATATTTGCTTCTTAATTATTCTTTTTTTGTCACGTAAAATGTTGGAGAGATAAGCGTAATGGAATGAAGATTACGCACAAGAATGCACAGTGCGTGCCCAAAAATAAACGACCTCAGCATATCATTTAGAGAATTCATAATTTCCATTCATTAATACAGTATTTCCACCTGTAATTTGCTCCTACTATCATTCACTCTGTCACTAATCCGTGAAGGAATTGATACACCGCCTTGAGCGTCGCGTGCTTTTGACGTGCCTTCGCCATTGTGGATTGACTACCCAGAGCAGACAGGTATTGGCAAACGGTTGGTGTGGAGTGGCTGGGACAGCAACTAGTCGGGTAATTTCATCCCAGTGGATTACAGCGGCAAAATGAACTCCAGTAAACCGAAAAACAAAAGCGAGAATAAAACAGAGAAGCAATTGGCTGCTGAGAAAGAACAATTTGAAAAACTACAGGTACATTTAAACCAAGCTTTTTTGTAAAAAAAAATTAAAATACTCTCCCTCATTTACAGATTTATTTTAAATCAAGGATTATTTTGAATGGTGTTTGTGTCAATGTTGTATGGTGGTAAGGGTGTGAACATGCCTTTAGATAATGTATTTCTGTGACAACATACATAATATCTCTGTTTTCTTTCAGTATTAGTGTTATAATGAGTAAAGTTTAGTCGGACAAGGAAATATACTCTAGAAACATCTGTATCATTACATTTACATTTTAGTCATTTAGCAGACGCTCTTATCCAGAGCGACTTACAGTCTTCCTATCATAAATATAATTTCAACAACAGATATATTTTTTAACATCGACTCGTTCTAGAAAGAACTGGGGGGAAACGTTGGAGTTATAACAATGCAGTGCACTTAATTTTGACTAGATGTATGTTCAATTATAAAAAAGATTCAATGGTGACATAATTTCCTCATGCCATACCTCACTTTGAAAACAATTATTCTTCGAATTCCGCCTATCAATGTCATGTGCTGTGTCTTTCATTGTTCTCGGAGATGTAGCCAGGTGGTGACTGATTCTCTCCCTCTCCCACTGTCCTCCCCCCTTTCCTCCCCTCTACTTTCTTCCTCTCAGCTCCAACAGCATCAGTAAAAGCATCACCTCCAGTGAGACACCGCTGAAGGAGAAATATGCACGCAGTATCCTTTCCAAACATGTCTTAGACACTCACTTTAAACACACTCCAAGCAGACCATCTGGAGAAATGTGTGTGTTAGGCTACCTCTAAGTATATCCACCATGTATTGATAATATGCATCATTTACCATTACTCCCAGGGCTATTCATATTCACACCCATGATTTGAGATGTAAACCGTATAAATATTAGTTAGTTTCTTGGTCTTGCAGGGGTGTCTGTCTGTTGGTGTGTTTATATACATAATTGGTTCAGTCGGTCTGTCCGTTTCCTTGACGACGGTGCTGACATCATCATGGGGACCCATAAGGAGGGTGGAGCCACAACATTCTGGTCGTACATCTGCAACCTGCCGCTCTCCTCCAACGCCATCATCAGCTGGAAGTTCTGCTACATGCTGCACAAAGTTCTCCGGGATGGACACCATAACGTTAGTCATCCCATTCCTGTCCCTCATATAGCATTTCTTCTTCCTCCTCTTCCTTTATAAACATCCTCTTTCTCTTTATTTTCCCCTTCTATCTTCCTTCATGAGATCTCTCCTCCCGTCTTCTCCTCTTCTATCTCTTCTTCTTGCCAAACTTCCCTGTACGTCTAGTGTCATCTTTAAAGTCTCTATTTGCTGTAATGTCCTGTGAGTGACTCCTCTCTCCTGTGTGTTCCTCAGGCTGTGAAAGACTCTCATAGATACTGCAGGATGGTCAAAGACATGGGCGTACTCTGGGTGAGTACTAGGTTGATGCTACCTTTTTATGAGTTGATGACATTGAAACTTAGGACGTATTATGACAGTGGATTTTGACCATATGTATTTCCAGGGGAACCTGCATGATCGGTACGGCCATATTGTGGCCCTTTCGGCCAAGTTCCTGTCCCTCAAAATTGAGTTCCATGTGAAGGTGAGACCCCATGCATTGCATACATACACCACCTAGAATCTACTGTATCCTTGTGATACCATTGCATTCTCTGTACCGGGGGAGGTGCTATTATGTTAATTAATAGTAGATGTAACATCAAAAGTTGTCATGGGGTCAACACTTTCTCCTGTAGACAAACCTTTCTGGTATGTACATGGATTCTTTCTTCCCCAGCACAAGGTTATTCCAGGTAACCTGGAGGCCACAGATGAGACGGTGGAGAGAGAGGCAGGAACTGACGTCAACAAAATGTGAGTTTCTGTTCCCTCCGCCAAAACACAGTCAATAGCACCATACTGTACCCCAAAACTCCTATGATACTATGGGTACAAATGACTTTCTCAACACCAAATCAGGGTTTGTTGAGCTGTTTCTGAGGTGAGCTACATTTGCAGGTGGTAACAGTGATCTCTGTTAAGGTGTTCTCTGTAACACTGTAAGGGGTTCTCTTCTCTACAGATTTGATATGACTCAGGAGCTGTTAGATTACCTGGATGCTGCTCTGAAAATGTCAGAGACAGGTGGGTCTTTTAGCTAAGGCTTTCATTCTCCTTTATACATTGATTCTCAGTTGAATGAAGCCATAACCATCTGTGCCTGTGTCTTCCTAACAGTTTGGCGGCAGCTGGATGCCAACGCGGGCAAGTCCACCACTCCGGCCGGACAGTGTCGTCTGGGACCTCTTATTCCTGTTATACTGGACTGCAGCTGGCTCTACCACTTCTCCGTCAAACTACTGTTCAAACTGCACAGCCGTCAGTCACACACACATACACAAAACCCCAGTTCTGTAGCCCTCTGGATTTCTAAATCTGACCTGTACTCGTCTATAAACATGTGTGGTCCTGCTCTGTGTTCCAGGTGTATCAGCTGACTCTCTTCTAGGACACCGGGAGAGATTCCGTGATCTGTTCAACAGGTCGGCCTACACAACTATCAACTGTTGTGTGTGTGTGTACCGGTATGCATGGTGTATGGTTTGAATGATCTCTGCCCTGTTGTCTTCCAGCCTCACTAAGTTCTTTGATCGAGCCAGAGAGACTGAGTTCTTCAAAAAGGTCATCCAGATCCCTGACCTGCCAGATGTAAGCGATGTACAGTCATGGTCAAAAGTTTTGAGAATGACACAAGTATTGGTCTCCACAAAGTTTGCTGCTTCAGTGTTCTTAGATCTTTATGTCAGTAGTTACTATGGTACACTGAAGTATAATTACAAGTATTCCATAAGTGTCAAAGGCTTTCATTGACAATGACATTCAGTTTATGCAAAGAGTCAATATTTGCAGTGTTGACCCTTCTTTTTCAAGACCTCTGCAATCCGCCCTGGCATGCTGTCAATTAACTTCTAGGCCACATCCTGACTGATGGCAGCCCATTCTTGCATAATCAATGCTTGGAGTTTGTCAGAATTTGTGGGTTTTTGCTTGTCCACCCGCCTCTTGAGGATTGACCACAAGTTCTCAATGGGATTAAGTTCTGGGGAGTTTCCTGGCCATGGACCCAAAATGTCGATGTTTTGTTCCCAGAGCCACTTAGTTATCACTTTTGCCTTATGGCAAGGTGCTCCATCATGCTGGAAAAGGCATTGGTCGTCACCAAACAGTTCTTGGATGGTTGGGAGAAGTTGCTCTCAGAGGATGTGTTGGTACCATTCTTTATTCATGGCTGTGTTCTTAGGCAAAATTGTGAGTGAGCTCACACCCTTGGCTGAGAAGCAACCCCACACATGAATGGTCTCAGGATGCTTTACTGTTGGCATAACACAGGACTGATGGTAGCGCTCACCTTGTCTTCTCCGGACAAGGTGTTTTCCGGATGGCCCAAACAATCGGAAAGGGGATTCATCAGAGAAAATGACTCTACCCCAGTCCTCAGCAGTCCAATCCCTGTACCTTTTGCAGAATATCAGTCTGTCCCTGATGTTTTTCCTGGAGAGAAGTGGCTTCTTTGCTGCCCTTCTTGACACCAGGCCATCCTCCAAAAGTATTCACCTCACTGTGCGTGCAGATGCACTCACACCTGCCTGCTGCCATTCCTGAGCAAGCTCTGCACTGGTGGTGCCCCGATCCCGCAGCTGAATCAACTTTAGGAGACAGTCCTGGCGCTTGCTGGACTTTCTTGGGCGCCCTGACGCCTTCTTCACAACAATTGAACCTCTCTCCTTTAAATTCTTGATGATCCGATAAATGGTTGATTTAGGTGCAATCTTACTAGCAGCAATATCCTTGCCTGTGAAGCCCTTTTTGTGCAAAGCAATGATGACAGCACGTGTTTCCTTGCAGGTAACCATGGTTGACAGAGGAAGAACAATGATTTCAAGCACCACCCTCCTTTCAAAGCTTCCAGTCTGTTATTCTGACTCAATCAGCATGACCGAGTGATCTCCAGCCTTGTCCTCGTCAACACTCTCACCTGTGTTAACGAGACAATCACTGACATGATGGCAGCTGGTCCTTTTGTGGCAGAGCTGAAATGCAGTGGAAATGTTTTTTTGGGGGGATTAAGTTCATTTTCATGGCAAGAGGGACTTTGCAATTAATTGCAATTCATCTGATCACTCTTCATGGACATTCTGGAGTATATGCAAATTTCCATAATCAACACTGAGGCAGCAAACTTTGTGGAAACCAATACTTGTGTCATTCTCAAAACTTTTGACCACGACTGTAGTGTGTGTCTGTGGGGAATTGGCCATTCCCACCAATACCTGTTTTACTTTTCTATCTCTGTGTTCCGTATGTTCACTTGTGTGCGTTGTGTGTACGCGACACCTGTAGTCTCCTCCGAACTTCCTGCGTGCCTCTGCGCTGGCGGAGTACGTGCGGCCGGTGGTGGTGATGCCCAATGAGGAGTCTTATGAAGAAGAAGAGGCGGAGCCACAGCCAGACCATAGCCAAGCACCCAAGATGCCACAGGTACGACTGCACACTCTCCTGTTACTCTCCCATTACTTTATTTTACACTATGCTATTGAACCTAGGATTGTTATTTACATGATAATTATCAATTGCCTCATAACTGTCTGCATCCATTTGTTTGACAGCAACCGTACTACATGTTCAGTCAGCTGGGAGCTCCTGATGCTGGATTTGATCAAAGGTAAATGAAAGATCTTCTCTTTTCACTGAGCTAACAAAACACTTGTCTAACAAAAGTTTGAAGGAGAAATGATTATGTGAAATAATACCAGTTTCTGGATTGCCTCTGATATCCCTCAGAAGATCTCCATCTCCAGGTCTGACGGAGGCAGAGACTCTGAGGAAGGAGCTGGAGGTCATCAAACCAGAGCTGCAGCTCCTCAAAACAGAGGTGTGTGTGTGTGTTTGCTTGCATGCGTGTCTGTCTGTCTGTCTGTTTCTCTGTCTGTCTATCTGTCTGTCTGTGAGCAGGTGTATGTGTAACTAAGAATGTATGTGTGTGTTTGACCCCTCCCCCTCCTCCCCTCTCTCTCCCTAGGCCCAGAGGTGTGTGACCCAGCTGAAGTCTCAGGTGAACAGGCTGGAAGCAGAGCTGGAGGACCAGAGGACCCATAAGCAGATGGCTCTGGTGGACAATGAACACCTGCGCATGGAGGTAGGGGCCTTACGACAGGCCACCGCAGCCATACCAGGGGTACAGGCTGGATACCAGGAGGCTGATGGTGAGTATACACACAGACGCAGACGCAAACGGACGGACACACACACACACACACACCTGTTAACCCCGTCCTCCCCCTACAGGTCGAGCCCTGGCAGCTGAGCTGCGTTTCTCTCAGCTCAAAGACAGACACGCTGAACTGGTCACCAGCCATGCTGAGCTACTGAAGAAGGTACGGACACTGCACACTGGGGATTTCTATGTCTTTAAATATTCTTCTTGTGAGCTGACACAATATTGTGTGTTCAGAATGCAGAGACAGTCAGGTTCTTGTCCAGCACCCAGCAGAACCAGGAGGAACTGGCCACGGCCAAACAGCAGCTGGCCAGCGAGGTGGACCACCTTCGACAGGAGAATAGACTCAAGGTACTATAACTGTTAACCCCTGACCTCTAACCCTGATCTCTAACCCCTAGAGTATGTAGCAAATATGGAGCAGGTTCAGGGTTTATTTCTCCAGGATGATCCTTACTCTTGTAATGTTAAAGGATTATTTATACTTTTCCCATGTGTTTCCTGACTTCTCTCTGTGTGTTTTCTCTGTCCTGTCTTGTAGCTGGAGCAGCAGAAGCAGGAGATAGATCGGCTGAACAGAGAGCTGTTGGACCAGAGAGCAGCGTTAGGTGAAGTCCACAGTGCCCTGGACAACAAAGAGCTGGTAGGCAACAACGACATGGTAGGCTTTTGAAGGTAGAAGCATGAAACTGTGTTTTTCCGTCTCTCAATCTAGACTCTACCCTTTATTATTTTGTGTGTCCTTCTTGAACCAATCAGAACCCTTCTGCTTCCACAGGCTGGTTCCCAAATGACTAGTGCTCTGCAGGGCCTCCAGCGAGAGAGGGAGGAACTGCTGCGCTGTTTGAGGGAGAAAGAGGGTGAAGTGTCCTCCCTACAACAGCAGGCTCAGCTCCATCACAGCTCCATAGAGCAGGACAGGGACAGATCAGCCAGAGAGATAGCCAGCCTGAAGCAACAGCTACATCAACAGGTACGGGCTGTCGACACACTAGACTTGAACTTGAAGTCGAACTTGTGCTGCATAGTAAGACATTGGAGGAAATTCTGATTAATTGACGTGTGTGTGTGTGTGTGTGTGAGATTACAGCTGGCTATAAACGCGGAGCAGAGAGTGGAGATTGACAGACTGAAGCGAGAGCTGGAGCAGAGTCGAGCGGAGGTGTCACGCGCTAACAATGCCCTGCAGAACAAGGAGACGGTAGGAACCTTTCTGCTGGTCCCTGGCAAATGGAGGACCAATACTTGTCAGTCCTTGGTACAAATAAGGTTGAGAGACATGTTTATGTATCTGTCTCCCCTTCAGACTGGTTCTCAGATGAACAGTGCCCTGATGGGTCTCCAGACAGAGAGAGAGGGGTTGCTGCGCTCTGTGAGGGAGAAAGATGCTGAGCTGTCCTCTTTAAAGCAGCAGGCTCAGCTCCAACACAGCTCTCTGGAGCAGGTCAACGACAGGACAGCCAGAGAGATGGCCAGTCTGAGGCAACAACTACAGCAACAGGTATGGGCTGTGTGTGTGAGGCGGTTGTGCATGCATACGAGCGTGTGTGTATAGGTGTGTTTTAACCTGTAATCTTTCTGGTGTGTGTGTTACTCCAGGCGTCTCGTGAGGGTGAGCTGACCAGGAAGCTGCAGGAGGAACAGTTCTGTCTGCTCCAGTGTGCCGTGGTGGAGGCTGAAGGCATCATACTGGACGCTGTGTCCAAACTGGACGACCCCATACACGTACGCTGCACCTGCTCTCCAGAGTACCTGGTGAACCGAGCTGAGATCACCCTGGGTTCTTTAGACAAGATGCAACAGAGTCACATGGTCTACCTGGGAAATATGGACGGTGTGTATCCACCTTGTGTGCGCGTATGGCATGCGTGCGTGTTTGTGTTTGTGTGTGCGTGTGTGTATATAATCTCCTGTCTCTGTCCTGTCTGTATCAGATGCCAGTGGTCTTCTGAGGGCTGTGACACAGTTCTCCCATCTGGCTTCGGACACCATCGTCAACGGAGGAGCTACAGCACACACTGCTCCTACTGACCAGGCCGACCGTAAGACACACACTGCTCCTACTGACCAGGCCGACCGTAAGACACTCACTGCTCCTACTGACCAGGCCGACCGTAAGACACACACTGCTCCTACTGACCAGGCCGACCGTAAGACACACACTGCTCCTACTGACCAGGCCGACCGTAAGACACACACTGCTCCTACTGACCAGGCCGACCGTAAGACACACACTGCTCCTACTGACCAGGCCGACCGTAAGACACACACTGCTCCTACTGACCAGGCCGACCGTAAGACACACACTGCTCCTACTGACCAGGCCGGCCGTAAGACACACACTGCTCCTACTGACCAGGCCGGCCGTAAGACACACACTGCACGCACGCAAGCATGCTCACAGACACACATACTCATCCCTTAATCTCTCCCTCTAGGTCTGACTGACAGTTGTAGAGAAGCTTCCACCCACTGTCTGCAGTTCCTAAACGAGCTGAAGTCCAGCGCCACGCTACTTCGAGCCGACCCTACTAGTATACGCTACGTAATGCAACGTATACTCACTATGGGACAGGTACGGGGTCATCACACACAGAGAACTACAACTAGGGGAATAAACATTCCTATTGAAAGCAACATTCTGTTGGTCAGTGCACTGGCAGCCATTTTGTGTCAATGCAGGATAGGACAGGATGTAATGTAAGTGTATTTCCTGTGTAGGATCTGCGTCTTAAAGGGCAGGATGTTCTAAAAGAGGAGCTGGGAGACATGGTGGAGAAAGAGATGACTGCTACCTCTACTGCAATAGAGGAGGCTGTACTCCGCATGGACGTAAGAACATAAATGGATGCATACACACACACACACACAGAGCATATCATTGTTGAGGACATTCCTTATGTATTTTCTACCCATGCTATGAACAGGAGATCCTGAACCAGGCCAGGAGAGACACGTCTGGGGTCAAACTGGAGGTCAACCAGAGGTCAGTGAAATACAGTAGAACACAGAACACAATAGTACAAAGTAGAACCCAGAAGTACACAGTAGAACACAGAACACAATAGTACACAGTAGAACCCAGAACACAATAGTACACAGTAGAACACAGTAGTACACAATAGTACACAGTAGATCACATAACACAGTAGAACACAGTAGAACACAGTCGATTAACTCACCAATAACTCTGGAGTTACTAACTAACGTTATGTGCTGGAGGAGCTATCACTGTAGTTTACAGTGTCAATATGCTTTTTCTTGGTCTCCCTCTCAATTTCTCTCCTCTCTCCCTCTCAGCATCCTTGGCTCCTGTTCAGACCTAATGAAGGCCATCCACATGCTGGTGACAGCTGCCACTGACCTACAGAAAGACATTGCGGAAAGCAGCAGAGTGAGTTCTAAATATTACATTTGTGTTTAGAATAGGCTGTACTTCCATACTTATCAACAAAGTCAAATAGTGGACCTCCAAAAGGTTGAGCACATCTGTATTAGGCACTGGGCTGCAATGACATGTTTTCTCCACAGGGGGCAGCATCAGTGAAGGAGTTCTATGCTAAGAACTCTTGTTGGACTGAAGGACTCATCTCTGCCTCCAAGTCAGTGGGCTGGGGTGCCACTCAGATGCTGTAAGTACTGACTGGATATACACATTACACACGTGTATTATATACAGCAAATTGTTGTTACAGCAGTGATACTAGTCATGTTGTCATAGGGCTGAATCCTAAATTGAGATATTTGTGTGTAAAACCCACATTTTGCCCACACAAATGGAAAAATAACATGCATATCTGAGCACAGTCTTGCAGGGGGATAAAGTCAAAAGCAATATCTTGTTTCCTCTCTCTCCCGGCTGGCAGAGACTCGGCTGATAAGGTGGTAACTAGCGGGGGTAAATACGAGGAGCTCATCGTCTGTTCACATGAGATCGCTGCTAGTACTGCCCAGCTGGTCGCTGCCTCCAAGGTAAAACACATACACACACACTTAACACACACACAGCTGATTCCGTCTTCATGTTCTCTAACTTGACATTTGACCCCTCGTCTCCCCTGTGTTGCCATGGCTACAGGTGAAGGCGGACCGCAACAACAAGAAGCTGTCGACGCTGCAGCAGGCCTCGAGACACGTCAACGACATGGCTGCCATAGTGGTGACCTCCACCAATCACGGACAGAGGCAGATCACTGAGAGAGGTGAGAGACAGGAGGAGGAGAAGGGAGGAAGAGGGAAGGACAGTGAGAGAAAGTGGGAGGCGGAGAGAGAGAGAAAGATGAAGCCCTTTTGAATTGAATTGAAAGAGAGAGGTGACATGGCTACCATAGTGGTAAACACAACCAAACATGGACAATAGTCAGCAGATCACTGAGAGAAGTGAAAAGAGGGAAGGGAGGAAGGTTGTCTCAAAAACCTGACCCTAGGCAACCGTGACTAGGGTCGGGTTTCAATGTCGGACTCTTTTGGCATAGAGGAACTACGTCACTGTCTACGTCAATACCTTATCCACTTGAATAAAATACAAAATAGTAGCTAGCAAGATGGAGATCACAGCGGTTATTTTTAATGAGGGCATTTTGCAAATGTCTAGTTTGTATCAACTACCTTCCCTAAAGCCACTGCAAAGGTTTTCCCTGCAAACTTCTGTTGTCTGTCTGAAGAGGACCCACCCCGGAACAATTATTTTCTCTAATCGAAGTTGCCAAAAGAGTCTGTCATTGAAAGCAGACCCTAGTCAATGTTGCCTAGGATCGTTTTTTGAGACTATATTAATAATAAAAAAATAATAAAATATCACAGTACTAGTATTAGCGGACCAATATAGACGTCTGTAGCTCTGGCCAAAAAAATTTTCAGCATCTCCGCTTTGACAAGAAAGGTAGTTGTATAATTAAGAACAGTATCTTGCAGGATTCAATAGTTAGAATTGTAAGAGTTGTTGCCCTGATCCTTTCTCTGCAATTGTCATTTTAATGGAATCCAGAAAGAACAAAACCCTGTCCTCAAACATTTCCATCCAAAGGTGCAAAGACACAAAACATCCACATCAAATTAAATATTTTTCTTGATCAAATAACACGGAAAACAACCACTTTTTGTGCAGTATTAATTTACCATCCTTACAAACCACTTAATGGAAATGTACATTACTGTATTGTACATAGGCTGGTCATCTAGGTTTGTACCATCACCATTAAGAAAAACAATGCACAATACAGTAATTGAGTACATTGAGACATCAAGTGGTTTGTGATGATGATATGGTTCAGTTGGTAGAGCATGGTGTTTGCAATGCTAGGGTTGTGGGTTTGATTCCCACGGAGGACCAGTACGAAAAAGTATGAAAATGTATGCACTCACTACTGTAAGTTGCTCTGGATAAGAGCGTCTACTAGTCCTGTATTAGCGGACCGATATAGACGTCTTTAGTGCAGGCATTTCTTTCTCTGCAGCACCTACACCCCCGAACTACTTCCCACAGCTATGGGAAGGAGGATTGTATAAAATAAATGTTGTATAAAGGTGTGGGTTTATTCCCCTTGTCCTCGCTTCTCTCCAGACCCCATGGACTTCTCAGGCATCTCCCTGATCAAAGTGAAGACTCAAGAGATTGAGTCTCAGGTATGTCATTGCAGCGGCTCTGACTGCTCTGCCTACAGCCACTTATAGCTGTTTGTGTATTTTGTGTGTGTGTGTGTGTGTGTGGGGCCAGGGACATATTATTCCATGTGACCAACTGGTTGTGTGTGTGAACGTCCTCTTCTCTATTCCCGGTGCTGTAGGTGAAGGTGTTGGAGCTGGAGAATCAGCTGGAACAGGAGAGAGTTCGTCTGGGAGAGCTGAGGAAGAAACACTACCAGCTGTCTGGGACTGGTACACCCCACGAGGGGGAGGTAGAGGGGGGAGACTGGGACGACAGCTTCCCACCCCCTCCCCCACCCACCCTCTTACCACCCTCCACCCTGCTGCCCCAGTCCTACTCCCAGACACAGCCCTACCTAAACACACAGCCCTTCTCACAGACACAAACCAACTCACAACCTTCAGCTCAGTCCTACTCACCACCCAAGTCCTACTCACAAACTCAACCCTATTCACAAACAAAACCTTACTCTGAACCTGAATCCTACTCACAGCCTACAACTCACTCCTACTCACCACCCCAATCCTACTCATCGTCCCAAACCCAATCTTACTTACCCAATCTTATTCTCAAACCCAATCCTACTCACAGCCCCAAACATACTCTCAAAGCCATCCGTACATAAACACCAATCCCTTCTCCCAACCCCCGCCCCTGTCCCAGCCTCTCTCCCTGCCTCTGTCCCAGCCCCTGTCCCAGCCTCTCTCCCTGCCTCTGTCCCAGCCCCTGTCCCAGCCTCTCTCCCTGCCTCTGTCCCAGCCCCTGTCCCAGCCTCTGTCCCTCCCTGCCTCTGTCCCAGCCCAAGTGCTTTCCCCTTCCGAATAACTCAGTAGAACTTACCAAGCCAACCCCCACTTCAAAGAAACCTTCCATCTTCCAGAAAACAGGAAACCTGTTTAGTAAGGTACAAATCATTATTACCTGCTGTCGTATTAATCAGCCTCGTCACAGGCATTAAGGTTATAGGTATACGAACAGGGCAAGGGCCTAAGGATAGAAGAGAGTGGTTGTATTGGAGCCAGGTCAACTTCCCATAAGGCTTGAATTGTGATGTCATTGGTGATCCGTTTTTTTCTCTGTTGCAGTTCCGAAGAGGTGAGGCTGGAACAGAGGAATCCTAAATCCAGAATGAGAAGATTCTACCTGTCTGCATACCTTATCATGTGAACTACTGTATATGCAGTTTACTCAGTTTCCTCAGGTGCAGTGATTGAAGAACAACCCTTTTTGAAGATAGCAACTTTATTGTAATATTAAAAATTGTTTTATTCGATTTTTTCTTAATGTCTTGATAAACTATTTGATTGCAAAAAAAACATCTGGGTAAATAACGATTAATAATATTATTATTATTAACATAATTCCCTAAATGTGCTAACTTATGTCCTTTTACTTTCTTTAAGAATGTGTATTATCTTTCTATTTGAAAAAGCAGTCATCTCTTACTGACCACTGCCGTGCTTGTATGAAGAATGGTGTCTAAACCAACGTACCAATGCTTTGTCCAAATGCCTTAAAACTGCTTGAATATGCAACATGGTAAACAACCAATCAACATACAGCCGCCTATTAGTCTTTACATTGTTCCTTGTATGTGAGTCTACTTACTTTACATAGATTTGGATATTTGTAACATGTATTGAGATAAACAGACGTTTTAAATTAATATATACATTTCCATTTGTCCTGAAGTGTAGATTTAGTCTTTGTGATTGACAGAAGAGATGACCAATGGAGCTTTATTGCGACTGTGATTGACGCCTGGGCTGAAGTATGGATAGAGCGTGTCAGCAAAGTTGTAGCCCATGTAGAAGTAGATATGGCATCGAGCTACCAGGTCATAAAACGACACCCGGCCTTGTTCGTAGTCTGTGTATACCCCGACCTTCGAGGGTCTGTGGGTCAAGGAGAGAGGAACAGGAAAGTCACTTCGTATTTGCTCCCATCTCTCAGCCATATCACCCAGTATCCATTCTCAGGGTTTAGTAGCACACTGCCTTTCCTGTTGATGGACTCTGTGGCCACTCCTAACGTCCAGTCAGTCTTCCCCTCACCGTCACCTCGTAGTAACACCTCCCTGAGGAGAAGCCCTCCTTTTCCAGGACACTGATGGACAGGACAAATCTTCCTGAGTAGTCTGGAAGATTATTTCTTTGCTCTTCTCGGGTCTCTCCGTGTCACTTGTTTCCTGTCCGCAGACAGAAGGAGAGAGGGATGAGCTTTATCAGGATCCAGAGTCACATCCACTGTGGAGAATAAAGAAAGAAAGAGTTACCCTCTGAGCAATGTGTATATACTGTACTGAATACAGTGTGTACGTAGTGTTACGTACAATGAGGTGATGAATGTAATGTACTGGTTATTCATTACAGTATCTTAGGTACAGTATGGATAGGTACAGTATGTATGGTGGGAATGTACCTGCACTTTGAAAAATACAACAACATACAGTGGTATCCGGAATGATTTAATTATTGGCACCCTTGATAAAGATGAGCAAAACAGACTGTATAAATGAAATAATACAAATACTGAGCTGCTGTACTGTATATTGTATGCTCAAAGAAATATAATATTATTTTATGTTATACTAATACAGTTGCTAAGTATATATATTTTTTATCTAATAAAGATAGGGGTCAAACTTACTCTGCTACTCTGGCACCCTTCCATTGCAAGGATAACGACACTGAGCCTTTTTCCTAAAATGTTTTATGAGATTGAACACATTGGGAGGGATCGTAGACCATTCCTCCATCCAGAATCTTTCCAGATCCTTGATATCCTTCATCTGCGCATATGGACTGCCATCTTCAATTCAAACCACAGGTTTTCAATGGGGTTCAAGTCCGGAGACTTGATTTTGTGCTCAATTAACCATGTATTTGTGGATTTTTATGTGGGCTTGGGGTTATTGTCTTGCTGGAAGCAATATATACAGTTGAAGTCGGAAGTTTACATACACCTTAGCCAAATACATTTAAACTCAGTTTTTCACAATTCCTGACATTTAATCCTAGTAAAAATTCCCTGTCTTAGGTCAGTTAGGATCACCACATTATTTAAAAAATGAGAAATGTCAGAATAATAGTAGAGAGAATGATTTATTTCAGCTTGTATTTCTTTCATCACATTCCCAGTGGGTCAGAAGTTTACATACACTCAATTTGTATTTGGAAGCATTGCCTTTAAATTGTTTAACTTGGGTCAAACGTTTCAGGTAGCCTTCCATAAGCTTCCCACAATAAGTTCGGTGAATTTTGGCCCATTCCTCCTGACAGAGCTGGTGTAACTGAGTCAGGTTTTGTAGGCCTCCTTGCTCGCACACGCTTTTTCTATAGGATTGAGGTCAGGGCTTTGTGATGGCCACTCCAATACCTTGACTTTGTTATCCTTAAGCCATTTTGTCACAACTTGGAAGTATGCTTGGGGTCATTGTCCGTTTTGGAAGACCCATTTGCGACCAAGCTTTAACTTCTTGACTGATGTCTTGAGATGTTGCTTCAATATATCCACATCATTTTCCTTCCTCATGATGCCATCTATTTTGTGAAGTGCACCAGTCCCTCCTGCAGCAAAGCACCCCCACAGCATGATGCTGCCACCCCCGTGCTTCACGGTTGGGATGGTGTTCTTCGACTTGCAAGCAACACCCTTTCTCCTCCAAACATAACAATGGTCATTATGGCCAAACAGTTCTATTTTTGTTTCATCAGACTAGAGGACATTTCTCCAAAAAATACAATCTTTGTCCGCATGTGTAGTTGCAAACCGTAGTCAGGCTTTTTTATGGCGGTTTTGGAGCAGTGGCTTCTTCCTTGCTGAGTGGCCTTTCAGGTCATGTCGATATAGGACTTGTTTTACTGTGGATACAGATACTTTTGTACCCGTTTCCTCCAGCATCTTCACAAGGTCCTTTGCTGTTGTTCTGGGATTGATTTGCACTTTTCGCACCAAAGTATGTTCATCTCTAGGAGACAGAACGCGTCTCCTTCCTGAGCGGTATGACGACTGCATGGTCCCATGGTGTTTATACTTGCGTACTATTGTTTGTACAGATGAACGTGGTACCTTAAGGCGTTTGGAAATTGCTCCCAAGGATGAACCAGACTTGGCTGATTACTTTTGATTTTCCCATGATGTCAAGCAAAGAGGCACTGAGTTTGAAGGTAGGCCTTGAAATACATCCACAGGTACACCTCCAATTGACTCAAATGATGTCAATTAGCCAATCAGAAGCTTCTAAAGCCATGACATCATTTTCTGGAATTTTCCAAGCTGTTTAAAGGCACAGTCAACTTAGTGTATGTAAACTTCTGACCCACTGGAATTGTGATACAGTGAATTATAAGTGAAATAGTCTGTCTGTAAACAATTGTTGGAAAAATTACTTGTGTCATGCACAAAGTAGATGTCCTAACTGACTTGCCAAAACTATAGCTTGTTAAAAATAAATTTGTGGAGTGGTTGAAAAACGAGTTTTAATGACTCCAACCTAAGTGTATGTAAACTTCTGACTTCAACTGTATATATACAATATATATATATATATACAGTGGGGGGAAAAAAGTATTTAGTCAGCCACCAATTGTGCATGTTCTCCCACTTAAAAAGATGAGAGAGGCCTGTAATTTTCATCATAGGTACACGTCAACTATGACAGACAAATTGAGAAAAAAAATTCCAGAAAATCACATTGTAGGATTTTTAATGAATTTATTTGCAAATTATGGTGGAAAATAAGTATTTGGTCACCTACAAACAAGCAAGATTTCTGGCTCTCACAGACCTGTAACTTCTTCTTTAAGAGGCTCCTCTGTCCTCCACTTATTGCCTGTATTAATGGCACCTGTTTGAACTTGTTATCAGTATAAAAGACACCTGTCCACAACCTCAAACAGTCACACTCCAAACTCCACTATGGCCAAGACCAAAGAGCTGTCAAAGGACACCAGAAACAAAATTGTAGACCTGCACCAGGCTGGGAAGACTGAATCTGCAATAGGTAAGCAGCTTGGTTTGAAGAAATCAACTGTGGGAGCAATTTTTAGGAAATGGAAGACATACAAGACCACTGATAATCTCCCTTGATCTGGGGCTCCACGCAATATCTCACCCCGTGGGGTCAAAATGATCACAATAACGGTGAGCAAAAATCCCAGAACCACACGGGGGGACCTAGTGAATGACCTGCAGAGAGCTGGGACCAAAGTAACAAAGCCTACCATCAGTAACACACTACGCCGCCAGGGACTCAAATCCTGCAGTGCCAGACGTGTCCCCCTACTTAAGCCAGTACATGTCCAGGCCCGTCTGAAGTTTGCTAGAGTGCATTTGGATGATCCAGAAGAGGATTGGGAGAATGTCATATGGTCAGATGAAACCAAAATAGAACTTTTTGGTAAAAACTCTACTCGTCGTGTTTGGAGGACAAAGAATGCTGAGTTGCATCCAAAGAACACCATACCTACTGTGAAGCATGGGGGTGGAAACATCATGCTTTGGGGCTGTTTTTCTGCAAAGGGACCAGGACGACTGATCCGTGTAAAGGAAAGAATGAATGGGGCCATGTATCGTGAGATTTTGAGTGAAAACCTCCTTCCATCAGCAAGGGCATTGAAGATGAAACGTGGCTGGGTCTTTCAGCATGACAATGATCCCAAACACACCGCCTGGGCAACGAAGGAGTGGCTTCGTAAGAAGCATTTCAAGGTCCTGGAGTGGCCTAGCCAGTCTCCAGATCTCAACCCCATAGAAAATCTTTGGATGGAGTTGAAAGTCTGTGTTGCCCAGCGACAACCCCAAAACATCACTGCTCTAGAGGAGATCTGCATGGAGGAATGGGCCAAAATACCAGCAACAGTGTGTGAAAACCTTGTGAAGACTTACAGAAAACGTTTGACCTGTGTCATTGCCAACAAAGGGTATATAACAAAGTATTGAGAAACTTTTGTTATTGACCAAATACTTATTTTCCACCATAATTTGCAAATAAATTCATTAAAAATCCTACAATGTGATTTTCTGGATTTTTTTTCTCATTTTGTCTGTCATAGTTGACGTGTACCTATGACGAAAATTACAGGCCTCTCTC